TCAGGGCTGCTCTGGTCTCATATGCAGTTCCAGGACCTGGCAAACCACAGGGCATCCAAGGACACCAGGGAGAAAGAGAGAAAAGAGCCAGGGGAGGAGCAAGGCACCATGGGGTCTGAGAACTGGCCCTGCACACCTGCATACACCCCGGAGGCCCCGCTACCTAAAGGATGGCCCCTGTATGCTGTTAAACAATGGTAACCAACAGACAGTGGTTCACACAGCAGATCTTATCCTGTTATCCTGAACGAAGGAAGGAATGCTGATGACGGACAAAGTCAGAGAACCCTTCCAGAATAAAGGGCGCTGGAGTAAGGAAGCTGCTCGAGTTTTTTCAGCATAGGAGTAGCAGAAATGACCAAACTGTAAGAAGACACAGGTGGGGCCGGTGCTGTGGCATAGTGAGCTAAGCCTCCACCAACCGTGCTGGAATCCCATATGAGCACTGGTTCAAGTCCTGGCAGCTCCTCTTCCAGTCCAGCTCTTTGCTATGGCCTGGAAAAGAAGTAGAAGATGGTCCAAGTGCTTGGGCGCCTGCACCTGCTTGGGAGACCCAGAGGAAGGTGGCTTTGGATCAGCCCACCTCCGGCAGTGGCAGCCATCTGCAGAGTGAATCAGTGGATGGAAGACCTTTCTCTCTGTCTCTCCCTCTCTCTGTCTGTAACTCAGTCTCTCAAATAAATTAAAAAAAAATTTTTTAATTAAAAAAAAAAAGAAGACACAGCGGTGCACACAATACCTTGAGATGGTACAGAGATTGGGGAGCAAATTATTTCAGATTATGATGCAAGCATGGACAATCATATTTATAGATGTGGACAAGCTATAAAACAATATAGGTAACATCACCACAATTTGTACAATATTTTCCACATTTTGTATATATTTACATATATAGATACCATTAAGAAAAGTCTAACAAGTTAAATACCAAAGCAGAGATGGGGATGTTAAGAGTGGTGAAATACATGGTTTTCCTCCTTCCTTCCTTCTTTCTTTCTCCTTATTTATCTGCATTTTCTCATTTTTTCCTACCATGAACTTGAACCACTTTGGGTAATTTTGAAAACTATTCTCTGAATAAGTGAATAACCCATTTATAAATATTAAACAGTGCAGGAACGAGGTGGTGAGAATTTGGCCGCAGGCGGTGGCTCTGGGACAAGAAAAGAGGAAGCAGAGTGGAGAGCAATTACGGAGGAAGAGCTGACAGAAGCCGGCACCTGCCTGGGCCAGGAACTTAGGGGAAATCAGAAGTCAGGTCTGGCTCCCAGCTTGTCAGGCTAAAACAGCCAGGGGGAGGCTGCGCAGGGAGCAGGCAAGGAGCATCGGTTTACCCTCAGACGTGCTCTGTCTGAAGTGGGGAGAGGAGTTGGGGCGCACATTTCCAGGCTAGGTGGAGTGTCTGCCAGGGGTTCTGGCGGAGCCGGCATTTCCCCTAGGGGGCGCCCTTCAGGCTGCGCGGCGACGGCCTGTTACTTGTCTCTTCCTCCCTACAGACCGGGAAGCAGGAGCTGTCTGCCTTGGATCAGTGCCTCCCACACAGCAGCGACTCCATAAGCGTTTGAGACTGGGGCTGCAGAATCCACCAGGGTGATAAGTGAAGTAGCCAGAGTGAATGGATGAACTACCCTTCCCCACGGGCCAGGATCTGCAGATAAGGGGGCTTGAACCTTGACAAATACCGAAGTGTGGGACGCGGCAGCCCTGCCAGCAGCACAGAGGCACACGAGGTCAGCGCCACTTTCCAGGACCCCAGGCTGGGGGCCGCACAAGAGGAAAGCACACCAGCAGCGACCACCGTGGCGGAGAGCTACAGAGGACAGGCCAGGGAAAAGGCTCAAGTGCAAGGCTGCCCAGAGCCGGGGGGAGGGGACAGTTTCAGGACCGTGGGAAGGGCACCAGCTGGAGCGCTGATGAACTAGGAAACTAAAAGGCATGAAAGCAGAGCAGTCTTCTAAGTCGTGCGATGAGCTGCAGTGACGTAGCTCAAGGAGAAACTGAGTCAGTTCAGAGAGAACCCACAGATGCTCGCACACAGGAGGGTCTGAGCCGTAGCTGCGGTCAGCTCCCCTGGGGTATCCACTCCGGGGAGGTGGGAGGGGCACCCCTGAGAAAGAGAGGGGAGCCTGTTTGATCTCACTCCCAGCCGACACCGCACAATTTAGCTCTAATTATACACTCAAATCACTCACTGCCGCTTTACGTGGCCTCTCCTCGTTTCCATGGCACAGACCCCCTCTGTGGGACTTCCCGCAGTAAGTTTTCGATGTGATTTGGTGGCTGACTGTCTCGAGTCCTTTGGATAAGTGCCAAAGAGAATCAAGCTGCTGGCATTACTAATATATAAGCTGTAACTATGAAACAGACACTACTGTAAGAAGACTATTTTGTGACATCTCCCCTCGCTTTTTCCCAAACAGCAAAACAGCCTATTATTCTTGGGCAAGGGAGTTATCAACACCCAGGATTCGTGCCAGCTAACTGCAGAGCGAGGTTCCCAGGGGTCACCCTCCCTGCCAGCCACCATACAGCCTTTTGCAGGCAGGTCCCTGAGCCACCTGTGGTTTGGGTGCACACTGCTGTCCCATGAATGCCCGGATGTTTCTGAGAGGTGCACCGTGGTAGCCAGACTACCCCTAATCCTGCCGATGAGTCCCCAGCAAGGCTGGGAATGACTCCTGGACTGCACACGGACGCAGAAGAGCCGCTGGCTTCGGCTGAGCAGGCCCGGCTCCTGACCCAAGCTGGAGCAGCTGAGACCAGCACATTCCCAACATTGGACATGACAGGTTGAAGCGTCCCCTCAAAGTGGCACCAGGAAGCAGCTAAGATGCCAAACGTCACTTGAGAAAGAAGGCAGGAGGGAGGTGAAGGGCCCACGTCTGTCCTCTATTTGAACATTTCCAGACAAATGATTAACATTCCCCAACACATAATTCCAACCATACCTTCCGCTGAATAAAACCTGCTTCCTTGTCACGTGTGTTTTGCAATAAGGGAGATCAACTTTGCCTCCAGAGCACTTTCTTTCTTAAGCTTTAAGATGCTTACACATATATTGGAAGCATATTACAAACATTTTCATCATAAACTTGGCAAAAGTTTTTTGCCACACTGAGATCCGTTCAAAATGTGTAGTAAACATGTGACCATTAGCTTTCTTTAATCACAGGCCCAGATTTCCAAGCCTACTCTTGCAATAAGTTATACTTTCCAGCAACACAAAGTGAACATGTGGAAATGCTATGAGCAGTTTCAGGACACTGGGGTCTATTTAGTGTATTGATGTAATAATTCATCAAATAGGACCCAAGCGTCCAGCAAGCCTCATGGTCCCTTTCACAGACGCCTAAGTTACTCCCCCAAGGCTGCCCTTTGAACTGAAAAAATCTGCATCGTTAACTAGAGAAATGGAATGGACTGCACGAACATTACTGCGCCCTTCAGCAGGCGAGACTCACGTGCGTGCCCTGTGTAGTCGCAAAGTGAACAGTTGGGAAGAGTAATTCTCAGAATTAAACACTCCAACTCATGTGTAAGGCTCAACTTACTTGCTAACTGAGCAGTCAACAGGTGTGGGAATTAACTCTGTTATTTCCATCCTCTCTCATTGTAATCGGGCCAGATGCTCCACACTGCATCATTTGCGAATTTCAGATTGCCAAAGAAAACTATCCCAGTGAAAAAATGTCTTGCTTAAACATTACAACCACAGCCTTGCACAGAAAAAAACACATCTATCCATGGAACACTTTATATCTAGAAACTAATGTACGTATCAAAGATCTAAAATTTTAATGTTGCCAAACTAGCCAAGAATTGCCAAGTATTACATGAAATTCATCTGCACATTAAAAAATATTCTCTGTTTATAAACAATCCTCCATATGTGTTGGGTAGAAAAGCACTGAGTGACAATTAATTGGCTGACTTTTGCAATCTGCCATTTATTGCTATTTTCAAGTTTAAGTGATTCCATTACATTTTATTTTCAGGCTCTACACCAAACTCATTTCTAAGAAAGTTTCTATTTCTCAATGAGATGTCAAACAACTTACCTAATGATCCCAATTACATAGGATTCAGCTCTGTTTTTATGTAAACATTTTAGATAAATGGGTCTCTCTTATCCACCACTCATTTTAAAATACACATTCAAGTTTTATAAAATGTAATAAACTCATTCCCTGTTCCCCTAACCTCCAGTGCTGTGAATTTAGTTTTTCAAGGACTCAACTTTATAAGTTCAAATCAAATATCTCTAAACAAATAAAAGCCCTTATTAAAACACGCACACACACATACACGAGGAGTCTTCACAGAGTTTGCAGAAAATGTGCATTAAAAAAAAAAAAAAAAAAGCCATGCTTGGATTTAAAACATTTTGCACCATGATAAATTTATCTTTTAGTTCCAGTTTTCTGTGAGCTCTGTGAGGATCCTCATGTAATCTGAAACTTTTGTGTTTTATGTTTAATCTCTATCTACAAGTCTGAACTTCAGGGGCACTATGTGCCCGAGTTACAATGTCAAATAATCAAAAATGGGGCAAGCAAAATTCATCTGATGACATTTACTACAGATTCATGAGAAAGCACCTTCTCTTTGCTAATCCAAACCAAGTGATCTCAGAGATGCACCAAGTCAGAACCCAAACACTTAAATGTGTTTCATGAAGAGCTTTCATGAAGAACACAAAAACACATTGTATAATCTGAACAATCTGAAACTGTAGAGCAATTTACAAATAATGCTACATTTACAAAGAAACCACAAAAGCATGAAGGCCTGGTAAAGGTTTATAGAAACAACAGCACACACGAGGCATGCAAATAATTCCTCCGGATGCTCCAGATTTGAGACAAATGGACTATTAGTGCCACCATCGCTAGAAGAAACTGAATTGTCAGGTTTTATGAAGCATTTGGGTTAAAAATTCAGACCGATTTCCAAGTTCCTTCCATCTAACAACACACCCCAGAGTTCAGTATACTCACTGCCTCTGCAGGCTGGGTCCTGGGTTTCTGGTTTTCCAAGGGGTCCCGTAAAACGTACAGATGGTAATAATCTGTGGCTTCCTTCAAATCCTGACGACTGCTGCTTTTATTCTCTGGATTTCCTTTGGTGCCAAGGATGTCGTTCGATTCCAGAGTCACCGCATGTTAAGTAAAACTGCTGTCAACATTTTATTACATTCAGCATTTCGGGTTTCCTGATAGCTAGCGCAAACATTACAGATAGCTGTGTGCTGGATAGTTTTCAATCCTCTTTTTTTTCCCCCTTTTCCCTCTAAGGAAAGGTGTGGGCTCTCCTTAAGCAGCCCTGAGATTTAAAGTTGTACTTTTCCAGATTGCATTAAAATAAATCCCAAATGCAATTCACTTCCACCTTCAGACTATTTTTTTTTTTCCCTTGCCTGGTTGCTCCGGCAGTGTTAATTTTCCCACACTCTCCGGTAGTGGTGAGTGGCTTGTCTGGGCAAGTAAGATAACACTTGGGCAGGAGATTAAAAACCCACACTGAAGTCATTAAGGACCTATGGGGCTGCGCCCAGAATCCACACAGCACAGTTTCCACACCTTGACTCTTAGCAACCGGAAAAGCCTAACAACGAAAACCATCTCATCTGGTATGTCCAGCACCTTAATTTTGAACAACAAAACAGCGCTCCCACTCGGATGCAGGAGCAAGGAGGAAATACCTTTGTTTGTTTCGCCCCAACCTTGAACAATGAGAATTGTTAGCCACCACCGAAATCCAGACCAAGTTGCTTGGAAGTCCCACTTTGCCCAAAACCTGTCTAGTGCATAATTATTCCTAATACTGTCCTTCAGTTTCCAAAAGGTCCTGGTTTCATCCATAAATGATTTGGTTAGCTTGCCTGTAGCACTCATCTAAGTTCTGGAAAGTTCTTCACATTTGCCAATGTGTTTGAAAAGGTTTTGAAACTCATATAAATAAAATCGTAGATTCAGGGGCTGGTACTGTGGTGCAGCAGGTTAACACTCTGGCCTGCAGTGCCGACATCCCATATGGGCGCTGGTTTGAGACCTGGCTGCTCCACTTCAGATCCAGCTCTCGGCTGTGGCCTGGGAAAGCAGTGAAAGATGGCCCAAGTCCTTGGGCCCCTGCACCGGTGTAGGAGACCTGGAGGAAGTTCCTGGCTCCTGGCTTCAGATCAGCTCAGCTTCAGCCGTTGCAGCCTACTGGGGAGTGAACCAGCAGATGAAAGACCTCTCTCTCTCTCTCTCTCTCTCTCTCTCTGACTCTCCTCTCTCTGTGTAACTCTGACTTTCAAATAAATAAATAAATAATCGTAGATTCAAATAACAATTCAACCATTTTCACTACCAAAAACAGCTTTCTCCTATCTTCTACTGATACTTAGGTGGTCCTACACCAGCTTATGAAGCCAGGTTTTATTACATAGGTATTAATAATCTCCTTTTCCCGATTATGTAAATCTTATATAAAGTGCCACTTTCAACTTAACTAGAGAAAAAAAGGGTGCCTTGTGCCTTAAAGACACACACCTGCCAAGGTAAAGGGTGTGGCCAGATTATTCAACGGAGAATAATTTCACCATGGATGTCATGGGACAGTGTCTTCCTTCCTCCCACTTGCTGCATGGTTTCAGAAAGAAGGAGAGAGAAGCGACACGTTTCTCTTTTCCCTTTTAAGGAAATTTCATGAAAGAATCACTGAAGAATACTAGTGGATTCTCCACAAGTAACAACCCCTATAAATGGAAATCACAATGAACGATAAACACACATTCTGGTCTTGGAGAGATGGGTGTGTTCTCTGAACTTTTTTCTCTCCTTGGAGAACCTAAAACTTTTACATATAAGAAAATGCATATGTTTGGGGTAAATTGGGTGTACTTAAAAGACATTAGGAAGGAAGAATCAACCAGAAATCTGAGTGATCTGGAAAAAGAACTCTTGGAGAAATAAAATTATCTGGAAACAAATACAACCATTTTAAGGACCTGTGGGGCTGGGTCTAGAATCCATCAGTGCAGTTTCCACACACCCTCACCTTGACTCTTAGCAACCGGAAAAGCCTAACAACTAAAACCATCTCATCTGCATGTCCAGGACGTTAATTTTGAACAACAAAACAGCGCTCCCACTCAGATGCAGGAGCAAGGAGGAAACGCCTTCACCTTCAGGGGACACAGAACCCACCAGGTGCTCTCCCTGCGCTGTCTCCGTGGTTACCCCAGGTGGATGACTGCAGCCAAGTCCCAGTGGCATATAATCAATTCCCGACACCTCCACCTAAATGCCCTGTGCACAGCTCAGCTCACACTCACGGCATTTTAGCTTCAGAAACAGCTGCTGCTTCTGGATTCCACATGTTTCCTAAGGCCAGCCACCAAGGCTCAAGCTCCAGGTTCTTTCCAAGTCCTGTGTATTCTATCTCCTCCTCTCTCTACATTCTTTCTTCTCCTTCTGTGGTAAGCTCAATCTGACCTTCAAATCCAACTCAAAGACAGGGGACCTTTAACCCGAGCCAGGTCCACACGCCGTGGTCTTGCAGCAGGTAGCACTGGCTACAGTTCCTCCCCAAGTTCCCACTTTTAATCAAAGAGCTCCCAGGTTGCTAATGCCAGCCTGCCTCCAGCCCTCAAATAACAGGCTTCATTTCCAAGCTGGTTCCCAAGCTCCTATTTTGGTGACTTCCCAGTAAATCAAGCTCGTCCTGGATCAGGGACTCCTGCCAATTTCCCGACTTGGCCCTGAAATTCTCTTCTCCCATCTCCAGTTCAATGCTCAGAATCAGCTAGCCCCTGAAACGCTGTGCCCACACCCAGAGTTTTAACTAGCTGTTGAAGGCTCTTGAGATTGCCACATACCTCCAGCGACCACTTGCCTGCTCTAAATGTAACCTACACTCCCGCCAGGCAAAAAGCAGAGCCAGAAAGCAGGCACTCAGCACAATTCTATTCGCTCCATCTGGACCCTGACAAGGGCTCCAGGCTCCCGCTGCAGTATCAGACGCGCCACAGGCTGTAGCTTACTTTGGCTCTGAGCTGACACCTCTGGCTTTGTCGCTGTCATGTGACTGTTTGGACGTTTTTGCACTTCTGATCCTCATTTCTAAGCCCACCCCCTAGCCCAGTCAAGATGACAGCTTGCCCCAACTTCACTGTGGCCAGGACAAAGCACACAGCTTCTGTCCTTCTAATCAGCCACCTCCAACCTTATCCATCATCCCGTCTGGGTTCTGCCTACAGCAATCATGGACAACGGCCTTCCTCACAGCTGTCCCTGTTACTTCTTCCTGGCGTACAGAACCCTGATCCTTTGATTTGGAGCCCCTTTTCCAGCCCTATAAAGAGACACTAACTTGTCATAACAATCTCCTTTGACCAATGAAGGAGATGAGTGTGCAGGTGACCTCATCTGCCTGACGAAACCCAAGAAGTTGGGGTGGGCGTATGTCACATCGGTTAACACACCCCTTGGTCTGCCCACCTCTCATATCAGAGTGCCTGGTTAAAATCCCAACTCTGCTTGCAATACCAGCTTCTTACTAACGTGTACCCTAGGAAGCAACAGGTGATGGCTCAAGTACTTAGGTCCCTGCCACTCATGTGAGAGACCTAGATTGGGTACTGGGCTCCAGGCTTTAACCTGGTCCAGCCCCAATTAGCCCCCACCTTTCATTCATTCATTCATTCATTCAATCTCTCTCTTTCTCTCTCCCTATCCCTCCTTCCCTCCCTCCCTCTGCCTTTCGAATAAATAAAGGAAAACATTTCAAAAGTCTTCTAAAGGAGGTTGTCTGTACCAACTTAACAATCACTATGAAAAGTCCTCTTGAAAATTTTTTGCCTTGAATGCAGAAAAGATATCTGGAACTACAAAGCCATTCTGAGATCAGCTGACAATGGAGGATATGGCAGCCAATATTCTAATGACAATGAAAGAGCAGGACAGGGACAATGTCATTGGGCTACTTCTTTCCCCTTTCCCATGCACCTGCAGTTTTCTTTTCTGTGAACGGAACAGACTCCTTGTGTGAACCAGCATGAGTCAAGCCTTCTGTTACAGGCAACCAAGTGTTTTTCCTCCACACAGATGCCTGGACTGCACAAGTTCACAGAAAGACTGTTATGTTTTGGAGCCCGAAGATAGTCAGTCCATACGCCCCCTACTCCTTCCTATTCAATCTCTCTATGGTCCAATTTACCTTACATCGAAGGCAGCAACATGGCATCTGTCCCTTAGCTCACACATATGGATGCAGTAATTTTTTAAAAAAGATTTATTCTATTTATTTGAAAGGTAAAGTTTGAGAGAGAGAGAGAGGTCTTCCATCCACTAGTTCACTCCCAAAATGGCCATAATGCCCAGGGGTGGGCCAAGCCAAAACCAACAGCCAGAAACTCCATCCGGGTTTCTCCTTCCTGGGTGGCCAGAGCCCAAGCACTTGGGCCATCTTCCACTGCTTTCTCAGGTGCATTAACAGGGAGCTGGATCGGAAGTGGGGCAGCTGGGACTCAAATCAGTGCTGAGATATGGGATGCCAGAATCACAGATAGTGGCTTAACCCATTCTGCTATAATACAAGCCCTTAATTTATTCATTTTCTCAGTGACAAAGTTCTCACCTGGACTATGAGGGCTGTCGTGGATAATGATAAGAGTTGAAGGAGAAAAATAGGGGCCAGTGTTGTGGTGTGGTGGCCAGCATTGAATATGAGGGCTGGTTTGCGTCCTGGCTACTCCACTCCTGATCCAGCTCTCTGCTAATGCACCTGGGAAAGCAGCGGAAGATAGCACAAGTGCTTGGGCCCTGCCAACCACATGGGAGACTTGATGGAGTCCTTGGCTCCTGGCTTCAGCCTGATCCAGTCCTGGCTATTGCAGCCATTTTGGAAGTGAACCCATAGATATAAGCTTGCTCACTCTCTCTCTCTCTTGCCCCCTCCCCCTCTCCGTCATTGCCTTTCAAGTAAAACTTGGAAGGAAAGAAGGAAGGAAGGAAGGAAGGAAGGAAGGAAGGAAGGAAGGAAGGAAGGAAGGAAGGAAGGAAGGAAAGGAGGGAGGGAGGGAGGGAGGGAGGGAGGGAGGGAGGGAGGGAGGAAGGGCTGCCATCCTAACAACTTTTCCCAGAGATTTCTACTCCACAGCACCAACAGATATAAATTCAACAAATGGAATAATGATGTCAGGTTTAAAAAAAAAAAAAAAAAACAATGAGAAATTGAGACTGGGTGTAAGAACACTGTGTACAGATGAGACTAAAGAAGTAAACATGATTTCTTAGAATTCATACCTACACTCTATGATTTGTACATTAAAAAGTTCACTGTATAAAAGCGAAAGTACAGAACACCATGGGACAACCGTAACCACAATTACAGGAAAACACACTGGCAAATGAAGGGAGGAATGTGGAATAAAAAGGACTATGGAATTTTCAATGATGTCTCTTCCCTTTTGAAATTTCTCTTGCATAGTTAGTTTTAAATAACTAAGATGCAAAGAAGGGAAGAAAATCTAGATTTTTTTAAATTTTTACTAAAACCAGAAAGAAAGAAAAAATAAACCTGAGGCACTCGAGTTATTCTGCCAACTGTGAACACAAGTAATATGAGTATATTTGTTAAAGACCTTCAAGAAAATCTCTTTTCTTCTGCTGAGAACATTATAACTAGTTCTTACAGTTTATTTTCACTGTTTTCTCTAAATTGTCTCTAAAATTTAAATTTTAAAAGTGCAAAAATAACTGAAAAATCATGTTCTGTAATTTTTAATTTGAAACAGAAAAAGGCATTAGCACTGAGTTTGGAAACAACTGAGAATTCTTGGGTTGGAAGGAAAGTTGCAAATAAAATGTGGGGTCATTCATTTTTTAAAAAAATATCAGTGCTTTTGTAGAGGAAAAGATGATTGGCTGTGTTTTTAACAACCCTCTCGGTATGGTTTGAAGGGAGCCCCTAAAAGTTCACCTGTTGGAATGCTAATCCACAAACTCACCTGTTGGGAGACCTTAGGATTGGAGGGATCATGAGGGCAGGGCACACTGGACGCATTATGGCGTCACGTGCTCCATCTCGCCCGTGACCCCTGCACCACGCAGCGCTGCAACAAGGTCCTCACGGGGGGTGGGGTGGGGTGGCGCACTGTGGCGCTGACATAAGGGGTCGGTTCAAAGCATACACTTTTAGGTAACAGGACCCATGTATTAAATTGTCACCTAACGGCCACCTGTTCACCTGTGGGAGTCGGTGTCTCTCCTACAGGTGAACAGCAGCTCTCTCTGCCTCAGCAGAAACCAGCTCAGGATGTGCAAGCCTCTTAGCAGCCTTCTATTTATAGTCAGGAGCTCTCGGCACGCTCACTGTCCCTGGTGCCCTAGGGTCTACAACTATAAATGCATCTCCTATGCCTGTCTTATTAGCCTTTGCACTATTCTTTGCAACTTCCATTCTCAACATTCCTAAGACATTTGTTCAGTCCTAAAGCCAGCAGATGGCTTAGCGAATAGAATCAGCTGGTATGACAGACGCCACACCCCTGCCCCAGAAGGCCATGGGTGGAACAAACTCACCTGCCTTTCCCTTCAGTTCTTTTCCAGAGTTGATCTGGCATCTAAATAAAAGGAACTGAACTCCCTTTGGAGCAAGATTTAAACAAGCTATGAGCAGGCATTTAGCCTGGTAGCTAAGATGCCTACATCCCTCATCACAGTGCCTGGGCTTGAGCCCCAGCTCTGGACTCCAGCTCCCTGCCAGTGCAGACCCTGGGAGGCAGTGAAGATGACTCAAGTGACTGGATCCCAAATGCAGACCTGGGTTGAGTTCCCAGCTCCTGGCCTCAGCCTTAGCCCAGCCCTAGTCCCGACCTAACCTCCTAACTTCCTAGCTTACTTACTTACTCTCTCTCTCTCTCTCTCTCTCTCTCTCTGTGTGTGTGTGTGTGTGTGTGTGTGTTCCTAGCTCCTGGCCTCAGCCCTAGCCCAACCCCAGTCTCTACCTAACTTACATTCCTTCCTTCCTTCCTTCCTCCCTCTCTCCCTCCCTCCCTCCCTCCCTCCCTCTTTCTCTGTCTCTGAGTGTGTCTCTTTTCCTCTCATGCACACACACACACAAATAATAATTAATAAACCATAGGCAAACTTCATTGGGAAATGTGCTGCCGTGGGGTGGGGAACAGCTCTCTCCCTGGACACCCTTCCCTCCCGGTGGGCACCGCTCTCCCAGGTGCTGCTCCTCCACTCTCTCTAGCCCCTGCTCCTCACCTCCTACAGGACCTCCAGGGCACCAGGATCCCAGATTCGGACCTCATTCCGTCCACTCCCTCCCTCGCACTGCTGTTGCAGGCTGGAAGCCGCGTGCCTCCCCCAGTAGCTGCCCATACATCACCCATCCCTGGGGCACAGTCTGCTCATGTCCTCCGCAGCTGCCCCACCCACAGAACCCTCCCCCACTCTGAGCTCCCATGCAGCTTCCTGAGACACAGGCGTCCGGCAGAGTAGTTAAGACGCCACGTGGGAGTGCCTGGGTTCAACTCCCAGCTCCATCCCCAGGTAGACAGCACAGTGGTGATTCACATCTTGGGTTCTCTGCCACCCACGGGGGGAGACCTGTAGGAACTGTGCACTCCTGGCTTTGGCCTGGCCAGCCGTGGCTGTTGCAGACATTTGAGGAGTGAACCAGTAGATGAGAGACCAGCCCCCACCCTTGCTACCTCTCTCTGCCTTTTAACCACAAATAGGTAAAATATTTAAAACAGTATTTTTATTTCTTATTAAAGATAGTGTTGCTTGTTGAGGGCTTCTTTAAAAAAACAACAACAACAACAACAAAAAAAACACCTTTCCCAGTGGGCTGCACAGTGCCAGGCACAGGCAGGGAGGCATCTTTCACCCGGAACACGCCCTTGCTCATTGGTTCTATACGAGGCTCCAAGCAGGCTTTTCATTGGAAAAAGAAAAAGAGGCTACCACTAAAACAATTAAAACAGAACCCACTAATTGTGGTAGATAATTAGTTACGGGGTTATTTCATGCTGACGCAGAGGCTCTCAGAGGGGAGAAAGTCCCTTACTATTTTGCAGGCATCCTGCTTGGTATGGGGAAAGAGTACGTGTTCTAGAAAAGAGCTGAATGAATGGACTATGAGTAAAATTAGACCACATAATACAGACACCTGCTCCCAGCGCAAATCTCAGGGGTGCCAGGAATTTTCCATGGCGCTGTATCTGGATTGGGGCAGCTGTAATGAGTGCATGTGTGTGCACGTGTGTGTCTTCTGTGTGTGCTGGTCTCGCATCCATGGACTCAAACAACCACAGATGAAAAATGTTTAGGGAAAGAAAAACGCATCTGTATGGAATATGTGCAGACTTTCCTTCTTGTCATTATTCCCTAAACAACACTGCATGACAATTACTTACATGGTGCTAACATGGTATTAGGTACAGTAAGTAATCTGAGATACAGTATACAAAAGGAGGGCGGGCGTTGTGGCATGGCGGGTAAAGCTGCTACCTGTCACGCCGGCATCCATATGAGCACTGGTTCAAGTCCTGGCTACTCCACTTCCCATCCAACTCCCTGCTAATGCATTGGGAAAGCAGCAGAAGATGGCCCAAGTCCTTGGACCCCCTACACCCATGTGGGACACCCAGAAGAAGCTCCTAGCTCCTGGCTTCAGCCTGGCCCAGCCCAGGCCGTTCTGACCATCTGGGAAGTG